TTCCCTTGATTACACCCACCAAATCCAATTTGTGCCACACATATCTTTTGGGATGTGTGATTCACCACGGGAGCATAGGTTACATTTTCAGAAGAAAACCGACTCCACCCCTCCCAACAGCCACCAACTGTCAATAACTCCTCCTAGAGTGAATCTTCATGCCCACCTGCCAGCTCCCTGCTGGGATTTGGTCTGGCTGGCTTAAGTTTTCATGGCTTTTATGCATATTGTCATAACCGCTATGAGTTCATATATGATGTTACCTGTTGTATCCAGAAGACCTTTTTTTCTCTATCATCACCTACAAGCTTTGGCTCTTACACTCTTCCCACACCCTCTTCTGTAATTGTCCCTGGTCCTGGCTAGGAAGTATAATGATATAGATACACTATTTAGGACTGAACACTCAGAAGTCTCTCTCTCTCTCTCTCTCTTTTTTTTTTTTTTTTTTTTGCACCTTTAAGCGTACCTTTAGCTGTTGTAGGGTCACCACCACAAACTGCCTGTAGCCATCAAAGTCAGCACACGGGTTGCCCATGAGGAAGAGCTCCTTCAGGTGGATGTTGTGCTTCAGGGTTTTAACACTGCTCAGCTCCCCAATGAAATTGACAGTCAAGTCAAGTTTTGTCAGCCATTCGCATCCTGTCAAGATAAGAAGAAAAAGGGAAAAGAAAAAACAGAGGGAAATGGCTTGTTATCTAGCCTCTCTGTGCAGGCCCCTTTTTATCACCATCTACTGCAAAGACAAGTTTTCTGATGAGGGCTGAAAGATTCACTAATCTGTAAGTGTAGTAATAAGTCATCAAGAATTGGTTTAATACTATGCTTATTGAGCCAAGTAATGGTAGTAGGTTCTGCCCAGAGGGTCTCTGATCTTTCTGGCCACTGGTCCTTGGCCCTAACAGTGGAGTGGGCCTTAAATCAGACAGTGGTTGGTTACTCCCATGATGCTTACACTACTTTTGCAATAATGGCCAGCATCTTCCCAGGCCAGTCACTATTGTATATCAGAGCATTCACAGCTGGGTGAGACTACTGATTACTCTCCTGCTCTGACAGTGTGAATAGTACCCTCCAGCACTATGATAGCTAGCCGATAGAAATGAAGTTTCCAAGTCAGTACCAGCTTGCTTTCTCCATATTCTGTGACTCATTTACACGGTATCCTGTGTAATCAGGCTGCACCATCAAGTTCTGGAAGGTTACCGAGAGTAATGGCAGTAGACTGTAATCTTTGGGGGTGCATGGGACATTAGTGACCAATTCCAAAAGATGTAACCCCTTCCTGACACTTGGGCTTTTTATTTGCTAGTTTATGGTTTCTAGTAAGGGCATTTCTACCCTATTACAGAGTAACTCTACTATTAACTCTTTTTATGTATATGTATAAATAATTTAAGAAATTTCTACGTTAGTAAGCATCCATGTGACATATCAAAATGACTTTAGTATTAGCAATCCCTTTCCATTACCGCCACACACACACACACACACACACACACACACACACACACACACACCCACCCACACACGCACACACACACAGCCTGAGCCTGGAGATCATGGCACAACACACACACACACACATGCACACATGCACGCACACACACACACACAAACGCGCGCACACACACACACACACACACACACACACACACCTTCTTGCCATCTGGCACCTTTTCCACTCCCTTCTATGTAGGCACACCATACTCACACTGTCAACTTCATCAGTCCCTGACAAGTGCCATTTACACACCCTATCTCTAGGTAGAAATACTTGGCTCCTACCACCAGCTCTACCCATGCCTTCCAGTTCTGTCTATACATGCTGTAAGTCCTTGGTCTTGTCTTTATGTAGACATCTTGGCAACTCTACCCATTCTTGTAACCCAAGGATCACCCTCCCCATGTAGGGACCCCAGACTTACACTGTCAACTCCAATCATTCCTGTGACCAGGCTCAGGGTAACATGATCCATACCTGTCTTAACTCCCTCTCTTTTGCCCCTCACCTTAAGGTAGGAATTTTAGACTTCTATTGCCAACTCCACAGACTCCCATTGCCTAAGGACAAGTACTGTGCCCACCCCCCAGCCCAGACTCCTAAAGAATAACTGTCAGCATCTTCTATGTCCTGAAGAAGGTAGTTCCTGGGCTTAGAAACCTCATTTAGCTCAAGCTGAGCTGGAACTATTTCTGACACCTCATTTGAACATCAACATTGAGTTGCCTTAACACTGAACACTAAGCCTCATACAGTTATTCTATAACCTGATCAGTAACAGGAAACGGAGATTCAAATACCCACTCAACAAAAGGAATACAAGCTCTCCATAGCAAGAAACCCTATTGTGACCTGACTCCAGATGCATAGGTCCCATCCCAAAAATACAAGCATGAATACACAAGACAGTGCACTCAGCCAAAAATTAACACTGTCATAGTAACGTTTCCCAAGAAAAGTGACTTAGATAATGCACAAGGCAATGATTTCAAATAACAAACATTGTCAAGGAATTTAAGCAGGAAGTGAACAAATGCTACAAGGAAGATCATGAAAGCACAAACAGTTGAATGAAATAAAATAAAATAAAATAAGGAGATGGGAGATCTCTGGGAGGATTCAGGCAGTTTACCAGGAGTGCTCCAGTCCTGGCTGGGCTGAAAGTAAAGGGGAGCTACCAGATTACTCTGGAAACAATCTAGGATGGGAATGGGTAGGGTGGGCTCTGCTCAACCCCTGGGAGAGGGGAAGTCTCACCTGGGGCAAGTGGAGCAGAAGTGGGCAGGGTGAGCGGAGGTGAGC